ACAACAGTATCTCGGACCTGCCTGATGTGTTCCTTTGTCTTCATGGTTCTCTCTGTGCTTTTTTTGAACATTGGATCATTCAAAGATCCTCACTGAATTTCTGGACTGAGTTTGCTGCACTGAAAGTAAAGGGGCCGAATAATATTGCACGCCCCACTTTTCAGTTTTTTATTTGTTAAAAAAGTTTAAATTATCCAATACATTTCGTTCCACTTCACGATTGTGTCCCACTTGTTGTTGATTAATGACAAAAAATTTAAATTTTATATCTTTATGTTTGAAGCCTTAAATGTGGCGAAATGTTGAAAGGTTGAAGGGGGACGAATACTTTCGCAAGGCACTGTATATATATTGATTAGCAAGCAATAATACTTAAACATTCACAATAGTAACTTGTTGGACGAGCATGTGCTGACACCAGTGACGCTTTGGGAGTCCGATGCCAAGGCCAAAGCGCTTGACTCCACAGCGCCCCCTCCCTCTTGCGGTTTGCATAACGCCCAGTGCGCACGCGGCATATCAAGCTGTCTAATAAAATTACACTTGGTCTTTTGGTTTGGAGTAATTGATGGACTTCCCAGATCGAGACTGCATGTGAGTCTGGGAACTGGCCCAAGTCTTAAAGAGCCCAGCATCGCCTCATCTTCACTGAGACCCTGCCCCCGAACAGGGAAAGGGCCATTTGCACTGGCACAGGCCCGGGCCCGGCTACTGCCAACTGTAAAACTCCCAGGTGGCCACCAGGGGGGGTGGGGGCCAGAGAGCAGGAGACTGGCAGAGAGAGAGAGAGAGATGAAGAGAGGCTGCATGCTAAATACGTAAATAACAACATAATTAGTTTTACAATATAGACCAGAGGTGTCAGACTCATTTTGGTCGAGGGCCGATTAAAAACATAGGAACTGGCTGGGGGCCGAAACAATAGAAGAGATTTCCTTTTCTTATCTTTGTTTTTTACATGTGACATGGGTTTCACTGTTATTTTCTGGTTGATTTTTCTGGAAAAAAATAATAATTAAAAAATACATAGTTTATTGTTTAGATTGAACCAAAACTGGATCAAATATAAAGTTAAACACTTTTTATGTTGGACTATTTAACTTCTAATGATGAGTTATTGGGTTAAAATGTTAAGAATACATTACATTTGGTTGTTTTCCTGAGAAAAAAGATGATGTATTCCCTTCCTTGGTCGCCCTTAACCATCAATGCTTATATTTAAATATAAATATCTTCCAATAGCCATCACTTATATAGAGTGTTTTACCTAAACACAGATCTCTCAGTCACTCCACTCTTCTCCCACTTGTTTTTTTAAGAATACAACAACATGGTGACCAGCTGCATATATTGGCGACCTCTTGCTGGGTTGCACGTGACGTCACGCGGTGGTGCAAAAGTGCTCCGAGGGACAGGAAGTAAATCTCCCCATTAAGAACAATGTAAAAATGCACTCATTCCGAGTCAAAATGCTCTTTTTCTGTGGCGTATGCAGTTGTGGCAACGGCTCATATCAAGTGGAGAACTTATGGAGTCTCAATTTTGCCAAAATTTATATCACTAACGGGTGTCGATTTATTGGAAAGGAAGAAATAATGCTAATTAATCTGATTAATTAGCATTAATTCGTTAGCATTAGCCTGCATAGCATCCGTGGCCGCAGACAAAGCTGACAGTCCTCAGTCTCTACTTTGCTGACTTTCATCGATACAATGTAGTATTTTTGTGTGGTATACGGTTGTAGTAACCGAGGGAAAAGAGAGAAAGAACTGTTAAATACATGTTTTAATGCCAAAGGTTGTCTCAAACCAACATGTACATGTGTAACAAAGCTAAAGGCAGGCTTTACAATCAGTCTGCTCACATATAATCTAGCCATTGTGTTATGAGAGTCATTGTTCATCGTTATTCCCACGACCGTGAGGTCCAGGGTCTGGGACCGTGAGGACCAGGGTCTGGGACCGTGAGGTCCAGGGTCTGGGACCGTGAGGTCCAGGGAAGTGTCTGAAGTTGTATCCGAGCTTTGTGCGTTCGTAGCAGCCCCGGCTGTTAGCTTAAAGGCTACGGAGCTCCCCCCAGTCCGAACTTTTTGTTCTTTACAGCTCAACAAATCACCAAAATTACAATAAAGGGTCATATTTCTCGCCTCAAATGTTTTTTAAACATTTCATGACCGTGTCATGAAAGACATTCATCTCATTGTGTTTGATTTATTTGATTTGTTTGATTTTTATTTATTTCTTGTGTTAAATTGGAGTTAATTGTTTAGAATAAATGTTTGTAAATGATGTTTCATATTAATAGTAAATAATATCATTATAATTGAACATGCCTAACAAGGAAAGGAATAAATGCGTTAGCAATAGCATTAGCCTGCGTAGCATCCAGCCGCAGACAGTTACAGTCTTTACTTCGCTGACTTTCATAGATACAATGCAGTATTTTTGTGTGGTATACGGTTGTAGCGACCAAGGCAACAGAGAAAAATAACTGTTAAATACATTTTTAATGCCAAACCAACATGTACATGTGTAAAAAAGTTTAAAAAAAGCTGTACCAAAGCTAAAGGCAGGCTGTATTTTAAGTCTTCTCAAATCTAATCTAGTCATTGTGTTATGAGATGTTCATTGTTATTCCCACCATTTTTTCCCACCAAGTTTTATCCCCAGGATGGCTGCGTTCATGTTATTATTATAGATCCATGGTTCATTGCAGTCTCCGCTGTTAGCTTAACGCTACGGAGCTCCCTGGAGAATGAGTCCAAACTTTTTGTTGTTTACAGCTCAACAAATCACTGAAATGACAGTTAAGGGTCATATTTCTTGCCTCAAATGTTGTTAAAAGTAGTATTGTGCCCCATTTATTGTATTATTGACTAGAACTATCTTCTCAGACGTGGTTCTGTTCATCCCAGAGTGAAGAGTTCCTCTAGGCAAGGCAAGGCAAGGCAAGTTTATTTATATAGCACAATTCATACACAAGGCAATTCAAAGTGCTGAACAAAATAAGAAAGCATTAAAAATCATAAATAATCACAGAACATTAAAAAGAAAGATAAAAAATATAAAATCCCTCAGTTGTATGCACAGCTAAACAGAACTGTCTTTAACCTGGTTTTAAACATTGTCAGAGAGGAGGCCTGTCTCACATCTTCAGGAAGACTGTTCCAGATTTCAGCAGCATGAATCTGAAAAGCAGCCTCCCCATGTTTAGTTCTGACTCTGGGCACTCTATCGTCACTATAACAGCCGCTTAATCCTCCTCATTGTTGAAAAAATTTGACTCATTCAAACTCTAGAAGGCATTGAAAATATTTTACACTCAAAATAAGAGTGATACTAAGCAACAAAAAGCTCCTGTGTGCGTTTTCCCGCATCGCCCATTCTATTTAATAGGGATCCTATGGTCACGAGTAGCCACGGCGACCATACTGGAGGACAACCAAGGCGAGTAACAGCCATTATAGCTACTTATAACCGGACGTTCAAAACTAGATCTCTCTCGAACTACATGAAAACTGAACCAAGAATTTGAAAAATCAGCAGTTAGTGACCCAAATACCTAAATCTAAATCCATGAATCAGATCCTCTGCAAATGCATCTTAAAACGTATTATTAATGTTAATGTTTCTTTTTTTTTCTAATGTTAATGTTTCTTCCGGGTTTTTCATGGTCGCAATTTGTCCAAGCCTCTGCGATTCAAGATGGCGCCGTATTCAAATGAATGGTTGTGCTCAGTGGCGCTTTGTGCCGGCATGGGGGCTGAAAGATTAGCGGAAGTCGCCTGGAACTCGCAAAAGTCCATGGATAACTCGCAAAGATCCATGGGAAACTCGCCTGTATTTGGGAATCGTCTGGTTTTTTCTGCCAACACAAGCTATAGATTGAGGACTCAGAACGAGGACCAAGACCACACACTGCAGGACTGAGGCAGCTCCCAGGCGGGGTGAGGGTTGCAGGCCTCGAGTCCCATCATCATGCCGTGAAACAGACAATGGGACAGCGGGGGAATAGCCCTGTCACTCCCAGTCACAAACCAATCACCCAGTCACGCCCTTAAAATGAAGAGTGAGATTGATTCAAGTGATCTGTATCTGTTGTTTTACAAATATGAAAGGACATTTTTTGAAAGTGAGATTAATAACACATCGAACTCCTCCCTCTAGCGGCAGCTTAGGGAGTTACAGGCAGAAAGTATTGTTTTTTTTTACCCTTGAAACATGTCTCGCCATAGATTTTCTACCTAAGATATTATTTCACATTCTAAAATATGAAATGACAAACCAGCTGCTCAGGGGTAATATGGTGTGTGTGTGTCCAGGCATTGTTGACTTTGTTTGTGAGCTACTCCAAAGATGGCTGGATGAACATCATGTGCGACGCCATCGACGCCGTTGGTCCCGACATCCAGGTGATATTCTGAATCCTGAAATCTAAGATCACAGCTCGATAGTTGTTGTAAAGGAAGATCTTGGTGTGGACACCTCTATTTAGTAAATGACAAGCTGATAAGTTATTTATGCTTGGATATGTTACAAATTGATGAACAAATTCACTCCAGAATGAGTCTGGTGTGTGTGAATGGCTGGTGGTGGTGGGAGGGGCTGTTGGCACTTACTGGTTGCCTCACTTCTGTCAGTGTGCCCCAGGGCAGTGGTGGCTACAGTAGTAGTTTATCACCACAGTGTTTGGAGTGAATGAATAATTCAATAATAAATAATGTGAAGTGTCTTTGAGTGTCCTGTAAAGTGCTGTATAAAACTGATGCATTATTATTGTTATTATGTAAATGTTCTAAAATAATATTCAAAGTCAAATACAGTTAATTTAAAAATATGTAGTAACAACCGGCTGTTATGTTTGACACCCCTGGTATAGAACGAGGATGCTGTGACTTTGTGCTAAAGACTCTTCTCTCCTTCAGCCCGTGACGGAATTCAACTTATGGCGCTGCCTTTATTTCATATTTTTTTATGACCTTCGGTTACCTGTCACTGGACATGTTCATCGGCACCATCCTAGACGCCTGGTTCGAGCAGTCTCAGGGAACGGTTCCAAACCAGGGTAACGCAGAAGCCAGGGGTGTGATCCATATTCCCAGCCATCGAGTCCGCTTTGCTCATTACATCCAGCATTGTGAGAAGATTGTGTCCGTGGTTTGTCTGGTGCATCTGTTTCTGATGTCCTCCGAACACTACCAGCAACCCAAGGTACCATCTTAGCCCCTTTAATGATTTTACTTGGAGAATAGAACTGAAATCTACCTCATTGGGGCATGGTAAAATTGGGATGGTATAAAGTGCTTAAAACCAAGTGATAGAGATGCCCCAAAGAGGAATATATAGTGACTCAAGGTGCTTTATAAAATGGTTGAGAAATCAGGGTTAAGAGGATTGCGTGTGTGTGTCTGTGCAGGCTCTGGAGCTAACCATGGATAAAGGGTTCCACCTGGTCACCCTTTGCTTCTGCTTTCTCCTGCTCGTCAAGATCTGTGTTATAAGGAGCGGGGTCTTCAGCGATAAGTGAGTGTCTACAAAACCACTTCATAATCAATACATAGTTCCCACAGACCAATGAATGTCACATGACCTCCTCGGAGACGCCATCTTTGATGGCACGCTGCTGTGTTTGTGCATTCCATTAAACAGAAGAATGAGAATAAATGTAGATATTCAAACGCAAATTGGAAAAAAAAGGGCAACTTTTGAGCAAATAATTGTATATTAATACAATGGCACCACAGTTTAACGTGCTACGGACATGTTTTACATATTTGATCAAATTATGCAGCAAAAATTAACAAGCAATGCAAACATTTCTCAAAAACTTTAGATTTAATACCAGTTGGAGCTCTATTTAATTATTTTAATTATATTAACAATTAATTTAATTAATGCTAATGCCACACGGACACTCTGGATTGCTGTTATTGTTTATTTCCGCGTTTTTGACCGTATGTTTTGGTGAATGGTGGGCAACTGATTTTTCCAGGCGTAAAGAGCAGTTTATTTTATGACACAGATCTTTTTACAGAAGCAATGCTGTTTGTGAACATTGTTTTAGCCCACCATAGAACTATTATTATCTATTTAATACATTTACGTTGCCCTCGAGAGCCTCGGACGCGACACCGATCCTCCTCATAATAAAGTAATCTAAATAATGAAACTCTCAAGTTACCAGATATCAGCATACACAAGTTAGTACTGAGTAAATTACGTCTGTCAACACATTATAAGATACGATACGCACCTGACACAAAGTGCTCCGAGCATATTCTTGCGTGTTTTGAGGGAGTTTCTTGCCTGTTTATCTTCGCAAGCCATAACCTCCGTGGTTGTTCTGACAAAAGCTTAGTCTTCTCACATTCATGAAGTCTAATGATGGGTATACTGTAAAATCCAAGTTTAACAGAACCTCCGGCACGATTTGAACATCCATTGACCCAGCAGGAGATGACCATTTTCAACTTTATCACGACATTAACACGTTTCAGCTTCTTTTTCTATTGTTTTGCCCACAGAATGCCAACACAAATGTCGCCGGGTCGGCAAATCCCCGTATGTAGTGACGTCATGTAGGAACTATGTATAGAGGCCCTGGTGGCAATGACGGATGGGTCAAATGCAGAGTATTTCATTGTTGGATAGTAACACTTATCCCTCACTCAGTAACAGCTAATTGAGTGAGAGTTTACCCAAACCCTAACCCACATGGGAAAGTGTCAGGAACTGGTTAGTTAGATGTTGAATAAGGCCATGTAAAATAAGGACCAATAACTGTTGAAGAAATACAACTGTCAACTATCTCCCTGAAATCTTCTTGACTTGTCATGCGAGGACGTGTCTGCATTTGGAACTGGCAGCAACCATAGGGGATCCTCCACATTGTTGAAAAAACTGCTCATTCATTGAAAATAGTTTTCACTTAAAATAAGATATTAGCCGCGAAAAGCTTCTGTGTGAGCGTTTTCCCCATAGACTGTATATATTAACGGACAGAGTCACGCCTATCTCCGCCGTTCTAACTAATGTGCCAAAAAATTTGCTCTACTGGAACTATCCAAAATGGCCGTGAGTGGTCGCGCCCACAAGAAAATTGTGAAAAAACGCATCTGCGCATGCGTCAGCTGGCGAGAGCTCCATTCATTTGAACGAGAGACTTCAGAAATTCACAGCCAGTAAACTAGAGTGATCCTGCAGACTAAATTCACGTGGGCTACCCAGAAAAAAGTACCATAGAACTCAATGTAAATTAAAACAGCACGACCTCAGCTGACAGAGAGCCTACAGCTTTCATAAAGATCGGATTTTGTGGGGATTTTAGTGTCCCTTGACATCCTGAACTTTTTTTCTTCTTAAATCCTTCGATTTTCTTCAAATTCACACTTTACTGCCACAAACTTTTCTCCTTTCCTTCACTCCGCTCTTCCGCTGTTCTGATGAGCAGCTCTGATTGGTCAGAGTGCGGCCAAGCCCCTCTGTGCATGTGCATGAAAGCCACACATGCACGTTTGGCACGACCATAGACTATATATATTAACGGACGGAGTCACGCCGGTCCGTGTACGTCGCGGCCATTCTATTTTTGATTAGGAAAGAAAATACAAAAAACGAATATTGGCCGTTTCCCGTTTTCCGTTTTCAAAATAAAATGTAGAAAACGAGAATTTAATCCGTTTTTCGATTTTGTGTTTTAAAATTAAAAAACGGATAACGAAAAACAGGTCATAATCCGTTTTTCCATTACACATTTACACAAGAAACACCAACATCGAAAAACCACGGCAAAAATTTGATTTTCCATTCTTGATCTTATTTTGAAGCTGACCCGGAATCTGTTAACCATGCCTACCACTATGCCACTAAGCGGCCGAAGTCACTCTACTTTGTGAGAAGACGTCAGCTGTTACAGTGGCTAACTAATTTGTCTTTTTTTCTACTTTAATAAGTTTTCAAATGGCCTTAAATAGTTTCGCCGACTTTATTATAGAGAGAAGGATGAGTGGTATGGCTTGTGGTGAGATCGCCAACGCGCTAACTGCACAGTTTGGTCCAACTGTGGGTTTCTCAGAGCGAAATGTGAGAAGATGGTTAGCCACTGTAACAGCTGACGTCTTCTCACAAAGTAGAGTGACTTCGGCCGCTTAGTGGCATAGTGGTAGGCATGGTTAACAGATTCCGGGTCAGCTTCAAAATAAGATCAAGAATGGAAAATCAAATTTTTGCCGTGGTTTTTCGATGTTGGTGTTTCTTGTGTAAATGTGTAATGGAAAAACGGATTATGACCTGTTTTTCGTTATCCGTTTTTTAATTTTAAAACACAAAATCGAAAAACGGATTAAATTCTCGTTTTCTACATTTTATTTTGAAAACGGAAAACGGGAAACGGCCAATATTCGTTTTTTGTATTTTCTTTCCTAATCAAAAATAGAATGGCCGCGACGTACACGGACCCACGCCTATCTCCGCCGTTCATAGGAGTTGGCCATGAAAAGTGCTTTCATGGAGCAATCCAAGATGGCCGCGAGTGGTCCCGCCCACAAGAAAATTGTGAAAAAACGC